AGTGACCATCAGTGTGTTTTTGAGTCAGTTTCACACTGAATATTGAGGGGAGAATTTTTTTGTTTAGCTTTTGGAGGCATTTGATGACTCGTCATTTCAAATATTCCGTCTGCCTGTCTGCCTGTGTGTTTGTGTGGTGTGGTGGGGGTGGGGGGATTACGCTCTGGCACAGGAGGATGCTAAATGCATCAAGTCATTACCAGTCATTATGTAAGACTGTGCATGATAAAATACAGCCTCGGTAACAGGATATTCTGCCAGCTGTTGGTTTCACTGTACCGACACAAAGGATGAATGCAATGGGTATTCATGTTTCCTTTATTACTGAAATTGTGTTTATGTATGTAAAACAACACCTAAGGAACATTTCTCTGTGCAAATACGTTTGGTACTTCAACAACAACCACAGATTCTCATAAAAACCAACCACATTTTCTAGGTCCTCTGAAATAAATACAATATGCGTACATTTGTCAAAAGGTAGACCCGGTTACTTGTGCCAAATAAGAGGGTGAAAGTGCATCATTCGACAGTTGGGAGAAGGCTGAGCAGGATGATTGAAGCAAGCATGGGATTCAGGGCTTAATCATGTTGGACTGTTTTTTTAATTGTTTTTTTTATTTTTGCTTTTTTTCCCCCTGTGCAGTGTTGTAGGGACACCATGAGAGTGCGAGGGCAATAAGTGCTTCAGTTCAATCGCTTTGGTGTCCGAATCATCTCAGTATTCTCTACCAAATGCCGACAGGAAGGTCAGGGAGCCAGAGCATAACACAGGAGTGCAATTACACACATGCTTCATGGACCATCACACATTTGTCAATATGAGGGTCTTCACACTGCACCACAAATAAGGATTTTTTTTGCCATATTCAAGAACTATAAATAAATAATTGTATAGGTTGTAGCGACAGTTACATACACAGAATTTACCAACGGTTCACAGTAATATTCATAAGAAGCAGTTTTTTGATTACACTGAAAAGTTAATTCAGTGTTCCTGTTCTGATGCAGACCCGCAGGGTATTTCTGTGGAAAAAAACAAACCAAATTCTATCAGGTTTTAGTTTAAGAGAATTAAATATTTGCATTGTGTTAGTGCAGGCACTGAAATAACACAAACTTTCTCTGCTCATACTGTAGTGTTTTTCTTCTTTCTTATATGCCTCTTTTTAATCTGAGTTTTTCAGCTTCCAGAGGTAATTATGACTCCTGACAATCTCGGAGGAACCAGAGTGACATCAAATGCATACTTTAATAAGTTCTTTATCGTGTCTGGCCTGGCCAAGAAACAGATCTTTTAGATTCTTCTCACATGTGGCTTTGAAGGAAGAAGAGGAGTGAACATTGAAGCAGCTGAGGGTGGACTTTAGCCTGGATTATACCTGTTTAACACCACTGTTAACCATTCTGACCTTTACTTCAAAGCCAGATCCAAAGACCCACATTTTCCATAAGTATAAAAAGGTGCCAGTGTGGGAGACAGCAGCTCCATGTTGGAAACCCTGTTTTCAACTTCTGATGTGTGAATGATGATGTGACAGAAAGAGGAAATCCCTGCCGACACCCCAGCTGCATGGACGCCGTCTGTGGCGGGAGGCCCCCGTGCATGATTTGGATTGTGAGAAGTTTTGCTTTATTCAGCAACAAGGTGAGGCACACGAGTCAGGAGACACAATGTCCCTTTTCGTTAAAAAAATAAAAATAAAAGTTTAAAAAAAAAGTTTAAAAAAGCCTTGACCTTTTGGGAGCCTCACATGCACAAAAGTAGCCAAATGCAGGGTCCAAATCACATGGAAAAAAACTGGTAGAGGTGCAGTTTTCATTGTGAGAAAGGAAACATCCTGTAGGATATGTTAAACCACAAGGTCTTTAAGACAGGCTGATCGCACGTATCCAGTCCCCCTCCCCACTTCTCTATGGACTATTTACAGTTTGGATTGTGGGTACGACTTCTTTGTAACAGAATGACATTTCAGAGGCTTCTCACATAAACCTGAAAACCCAGGAGTGAACATTGCCAAATATCTGTACAATACAATAGTGCTTGGTTGAGATATAAGAGTGAATCATCATGGACAGTTATCATACAGTGAGTGGCATAGTGGGATATGCATATTATTTATCAGGATATGGTGGGGAGGGTCTCAAACCCTGGAAATAAGCACTTCACATTCAGTCATCAAACCAACCCAGCTTAGACCAACACCAGAGGGTCTAAGTCTTGGACAAGTTCCCTCCTCAAGAGTCAACCCAGTCAACTGTGGATTCAAGTGCATAATTTAAGGAAAAGATTATCAAGGATCATGTCGGCCTATTGCTCCAAACAACATGAAGGCCTTTGGGTGTTTGCTGTACTGGTAAAAGGCCATTTTGGACGAGATTGATTCCTAGAAAAAGTAAAGGGAGCAGGAGTAGACCAGTATTATGTACATAATCACACACCCACAGTACTACATCTGCATCAGTATCAGAGCCAGCAGCCTGTCAGGCGTTTCTCCGGGAGTTACTGGTGGCGGATGAGCGGCCTGTCTCATGGTCCGGTCTGTATTTGAGCCAGCAGATGAGCCATGTGACGACCACCGAGAACATGGCCAGGATGCTGGCTACCGACAAGCAAATGGGTCCCGCCGGCGAGGGAGGAATGCTGTGACTGTGCACAAAGATCAGGCCCATGAACAGCAACACCAGCATGGACAGAAAGGAGAAGATCACGCAGACGCAGCCGGTGGTCAGCGCCACTCTCTTGCAGCTCTGACAGCTGTCGTAGCGCACGGAGTCCTGGGAGAGAGTCGTGGCCGTGGACACGGTGGTGGACGCGGTCGCCTGGCTGGCGCTGGACGTCCCCGACGCCTCCTCCCGTCGGAGGGCGACGAGGGCTGGGTGCAGCGGGGGAGGGTACGGCGGCAAAGCGTCCTGAGGCAGGGGGTCCGAGTCGATGTAGAGCGGGAAATCTTCCGTCACCTTGGTGTTGTTGGGCAGGTTTTGTATCCGATAATCCGGCACCGGAGTCCGGTGGCGACAGACGGGGCAGCTGATGCGCCATGGCCGCTCCTCCCGGAGGTGAAGCGTGTTCAGGCACTCCTCGCAGAACGTGTGCAGGCACTCTAGGATCTTAGGAGCCCGGCGGTCAAGGTCGAAATAATTGTAGCAGATCTTGCATTCGTACTCCTCGTAGGGAAACGCCGAGGAGGCCTCGCCGGGGGGTTCCGCTCCGTTTGATGCCAAATCTACCTCTGCCATGTCATCTTTCGCCATTCACATTCTCCGGTGAACACAAAGGGAGCTGGCGGACAGATGCTGATGACGGTGCACGTCTCTCCTCCTCTCCCCCTCCTCTCCTCCCCGCTCATTGAAGCGCCATCATCCCCGCAGACACTGCTGTTGATGTGCTCCAATAATCCCCACAGAGTCCTTTATGGAGCTGCTCGGTCTGAACGAGCGGGATCCCGGTTCAATATTAAAAAAAAAGCTCCCGTTTGGTGTTCAACTGTGCGGGAACAGATGATGTAATGGTGGTGACTCCGGCGCGAGGGCTCGTCCATCCAGAGAGCCCGAGCATCCCACAGACCGGAGAGAGGGAGGGAGAGAGAGAGAGAGAGAGAGAGAGGGAGAGGCGATGTGCAGTCTTAAAGTCCTGTGTGTGTGTGTGTGTGTGGTGCTGTTGTTGTTGTTGTTGTTGTTGTTTTCTGGGCTCTGGCTGCGCAGGCAGCAGCTATGACAGCCATGCTCGATCCCAATTACGTAGACCATGCCAGACCACAGGATGCGCTAATTTGGTCAACTGGGGGCGTCAATTCACTGTTTCCTGTAACAAAGAACATCTAAACTCACACAATGTGCCAGCACAACTCAAACATAGGCCTGTATTGTCTTACACTACAAGTGACTGAAGGGAACAGTGACAGTTGACTGTATAGGCTGTAAAAATAGAAGAGTGATAAAGGGAAGTGGCAATAAAGTCCCGCATATTGAATAAATCATGTCAGAATGATTTGGAGTGCGGAGGCATGGTGAGGTAGAAAATCACAAATATTTCATTATGAAGGTCTACATTTTGTAGAATCTCTTATTTGTACTTTGTAAAGAACAAAGGCTGTTTAATACAATACAAATACATTTCCAGGTTGTTTAATCTTGTGCTCATATAGAGGCAGCCTACAATTAAATTAAATACTGTTATGGCAGATGTTTAAAAAAACATACATAGCTTGTTTTTAGGTATTTCTAATGGGATATTGAGAGGGTTAAATCTCAATTCAAGCATTTGTTGAACTATTCCTCTCTTTTTGTGAAGCTGATGAGTTATATTCATCCCATTTAAATTGAGTTGATTACACTTAAATGACTGAGACCCATCAGGTATAAGCACATTAGTCCTGATCTGACTATCTTATAAGAGGTAGTATGTTGCTATCTATATAGGCTGCACAGCTGTAAAGCACATGGTTGTTGTTACATGCTATTATTGTATGATAAATGTCCTGTGGTCCATTTCCCTAAAAGTTATATCACCTGCTATATTACCTGATGACAGGACAAGTGAAAAGTGGATTCAAGGTTTCTTTTCAGGCATATACAGAGAGAACTTAATGAGCAGTTGCATAACAGGAGGGAAATATAGTTCTGAATTGAGAGGTTACGTGCATTGTTACAGTCCCCTCTGACACACATTAAGCCTCACAGAAACCCAGGAACTAGCCATTAAATAGTGCATCCTTGAATTGTCATGATCTAAGTATGAGAGGAGAGTTTATAAGTAACAAATCCTCTTTTTTAGTCCCAGAGACTCCATTTCGAGGATAGCATACTCAGTATAGATATAGTACATGAGGTAGTATATATATATTTGTTCAGGGATCGTCCTCAAAATGTTGCTGTTTTGAGATTGATACATATAGCCACAAATTTTTGAAAATAACAAGCTGAGATAAGCTACAGATTCTGTCCTATTACTCCAAAAGGCTGCACTCTAAAGTCATTTGGCTCTGTACTATCAGTTATCAGTATTTCTGTGTCCCACCTCATGTTGAACAATGGACTTAAATCTCACCGTGGTTTGGACCAGTGAACTGCACACTTTACAGCCCTACCTTACCAGATGTAATATATTACTCATTACTAAATATTACTATTAATATTACTCCCTGCTAACAGTAATTAGTTACACTTCTAGTTATATTACTTTTTTTGCTACTCACCACAAAATTGGTAATTGTGCCCCCTCTCCCCAAAGTTCTGACTTACGCTGATTAAAAGCCAGTTTTGTTTGTTAAAATCAAAGTAATGAGAGTGTTTCCAGCTGCTGAATGTAAACATTTCCATCTTCCAAGCTAGTTTCCTCCATGATTACAAAAATGAAACCAATAATCTGATTGGATGGTTGAATTTCAAATTGGGTGACAACAAAAGTAATGCTGTAACTAATTATTGATTGGGGGTAACTGTAATATTATTACTGAAATGTATTAATTATTAGTTACACTATTAGTTACTGGGGAAAGTAATCTTATTACTGTAATATTATTACACTGTACCTCACACGCTGCTTACAGGTAAAGATCCGACCTCTACAGGTGTCCTGCTATCATGGAGATGCAATAAATCTTCCTTCCTCTTGCTATAAATACTTTGTGATAACATTTGACCCAGAATAAAGGTAGGAAAACGTTCTACGCCACACAACCGGTTCAGCCCCCTCACAGCCGCGCCCCATTGCGCACACCTGTGGCGCACAGCAGCCTCACCTGTACGGAGCCTTTTTGCGCCCTGCCCGGGCAGATATCAGCTTCTATTAGCTCACCTGCTCAGACAATCCCCATCAGCCCGTTCCTGAACGCGTCTCTCTCTCCCACCTGACATGCTGGAGCTCCTGGCTTACTTGCATGACTCCGAGCTTGTGGCCCGGTTCCAGAGACGATGCGGACTCTTCCTAGTGGAAGCCGCGCATCACAGCCGAGGAGGGACGCGCGACACCCCACGTGGACAACTGAGGGGACGATGGGACCACCAGGATAATAATTCAAACTTTAAACACAAGGAGAATGGATGTGCCAATGGTGTAAGTCGTTTACTGCCAAATAATGCTCTCACTATTTATTTACATGAAACCATGAAAGGTCATTTTAATTTGAATCAAAATGTCCCCTGGAGCGTATGGAGCCAATTTGCATTTGATTATTATTTTTTATTATTAATATTTAACGCTCAAACATAAGAAAACATAGGAAGGAAGTAAAGCACACGGGAGGCTAACGAGGTTAAATGACTTAGTTAAACGAACCTTTAACATTTAGTTGGAGATGTTTAGATATGCAAACCAAACAGTGACTGGCTTTTCTCGTTTGTCTGGCTGTCTCTGTCAGCCGCCTGATCCTCATCTGCACAGCGACAGGCTGAGCCGGTGTGTTACATTCTTCTCTGCCTCCCCTTTCCCACATAAACAACTTAGTTAAGGTATTAAGAAAATGAAGGTGACTACAGTCAAGTTACTTTCTAATTAAGGAAGATTGATGATGTAACTGGAGCTCCTTTAGGGTGGTGTTCAGCATGGATGTTGTTTTGTTTATTCATCTCCAATCGCTGCAATGTATTATATAAGGAATAAATAGCAAGTCTAGATGCTGTAAGTTTAAACAAATAAAAATGTTGAAACTAATGTTATCACAATACCAGAATTTTCAACTTTGATACAACACTAGAATTACAATTGAATATATATACTCAATACTTATTTTGATACTAAGGCAAAAAGGAAAAAACATCTAATACTACATCTGGTTTTTTTTTTGGTACTTTCGATGCAGCGAATGTATAGCTATCGTATACTTTTAAACATGTGATGGACAACCTTAGCAGAAACTGACATTTTGAGATGGACCAGTTGCAATACCACTCTTAAAGGGTCCTTAAGTGCTTAAGGGGCACTAAACCAAGTTTACACATAAAGGCCAGTTCACTCCTCACAAGTACTCAGCCTGTAAAAACAGTTATTTGGGAGAGACTTAGTTTACAAATGAACAAATGGCGATTAGACCCCATCCTGACCTCATTGTATTTAAAGGGGTTGGTGAAGCCCTGATTAGTCTAGGAACCCCCTGATGGAGTCTAGACACTGGTGGTGATGATGAAGGACTTCTGATGAGCTCAACCTGGGCACTGCATATGATGAACTGGAGGTGAATGGGGTGGAGGAGGGTTGTAACGATTTTACACTGAAATGACAGCTGCAAGCAGCAGAGAGGAGAACGGATTTAAAGTTTGACACCAGTAATGTGATTGGCTGGAAGAGATTGGCTGGAAGTCTGATTGGTTTAACTGAAATGATAAACGCCCACTGATTAGAAAGGAGAGTGAGAGAACATCATTGTATAATGTCTTCTGTGGCTCAAGGTCTAAATCATAACCCCAATGACGTCATAGTGATGTCATCTGGGTTATCTAGGCTTGGGCATTCCTAACACAAAGTAAAAAGGTGTGGAGTTTATGACATTTATGAGGCGGGGGGGGTCTTAAAAAAATACTAAGCAGTTGCATTGTGGGACTAGAGACTAGAGGTTTCATCCATGCTGCATTGATTTCTGTTTGACCTCTCTTTTTTTATTTGTCTCTTGCTGGTACAGTACTACATTGTGCTTGGTATTTGTTCAGGTGCTATCTGAGTCAGCTGGATAAATAAATCCAATAGATTCTGACTTGGTGGCTGGTATAATGCAAAGAAGCTGCAAAAAACTGACTGATGTGCAGCCAGCACAAGGTGTGACTGCCCGGTTGGCTGGCAGATCTATCTCATATTTTGTGTTTATCTGTATTGTTGTGTGCAGGGCTGCAGCAGGCCTCAGTATGAGGTGAAGAACTGGCTGTTGTACTTCCTTTTCCTGGTCTCGGCAGGCCTAGGGCATGAAATCTTCTACATCACCTGTCTGCCCAGCATACACTGGAACCTGGACCCATTCCTGTGCCGACGCCTGGTCAACATGTGGACTGTAAGTCACAGCTGGAAAGAAAGTGTGTGTGTGTACGTCAGTCAGACCACCAAGTCTTCAGTCTGATGTCCGTTGGTTCCACAATGCCACCTCTCTTCTCTCTGCCCTTCGTCTCCCTCTCTTCACCTTTCAACCTCCTTTCATCCTTCTCCCCCTCCAGTGACCTGTCTCTGACACCACCATGTTCATATATCCCCAGGCCTGGGGGCCACTGGGGCCAGCCTGACCAGGGCCCCTGACATGGTGAGAGGCCACATATGAGGACACATCAGTGGGAAAAGACAGCTAGGATCTCCCCTTTAGATGTTTATTCTGATAGAATCCAGCACATTGTGACAAAAGACCCTGAAAACATGTCACATGTGATCCCAGGAGGAGTGTGTTTGACACTTCTAGGGACACACAGACAGACACAGACAGCTATATTCCCTCACTCCTGCAGCGTGTGTGTGTTAGGCAGTGTGTTTTTGTGCCCTTTGTGTCCCCGCCCCGAGCGCTTGGTGGGTGCCCTGTGTCTGAACCCCATGTTTGGCCCCCCAGGGAAAGAGATACCATTCTTCTGGCATCCTGGCTGCACCAGGCCCCTGTGTGAACTCCCTTCAAACACACATAAACACCAACACACACACATGCTCGCACTCCCCACCTCGCCCACTAAACACACTCATTGCCCTCCCTCTAGTTAGACATTACCAGCTTTTACTCTGTGTCCTCCTCCCCCTGGTCTACCGGCAGAGTGTTTTATTGGCCTCATCAGCGCTGTGAGCTTTCTCTCTCTGGACCGACCATTTGGTCTGTCAGCCCTCGGGGCGCTTCACCCCGCACTTCTAACTTCTAACAGCACCCTGCCATTGTGCTGGTGGAGTTATCTAAGGTTCATGGAGATGGAGTACTGTGCACCCTCTCTCTCTCTCTCTCTCTCTCCTCTGTCTCGCACACAAAACTGGCAACTCACGCCAACGACTGAAGTGCACCCATGCAAATTAAGACTTGTATGGATGAGCAAACAAATTACAGGCCTAGGAATGGCACACACACACACACACACACACATAAAACATACACACGTACCTTTGTGTCCTTCACTACCCTCTGTTGCCTTTACTTGCAGTGTGACTTTGGTCGACTTAGAAAACAATAACTGTCATTAAGCATATGGTCATGAATTACATTGCTGTGTTGTATGGTATTATTGTAGCATAGTGTTATGCAAATCATACACCTACTGTGCTGTGTGGAATATCAAAGTTGTACTTTAACATAATGACACAGAGGGCATATACACTATGATGTGGATAGCTGAAGAATGCTTAGAAAGGAACCACATGTAAAGTTTTCTCTAGTGATGACAGATGATGCTCACATTCAATGACAAAACTCACTTTACTCCCAGAAGACTAAACTTTTTCAGTGATACGTCCGTCCTGTCATCAGTACTGTGGTCACTGCTGTTTGTACTGGCATATAAACTAAATTTTTCTGTTATAAGTTCAAAGTGCTTAAAAATAAGCAGAATGAAAAAATCAATAATTAAGAAAGTATAGTTGACAAAAAGGTTTACCAACTGTGAGCTATGACTTAAGAAAAGTATGACAAATTACGATATATGAGCAGATAAAACGATGTGACTGTTGTTCGGACCAAATCGGACCACGTCTGTTCCAGTCTGGGTCAGTTTCTCATATATAAATAGTCAAATCTGTCATTAAGGTTGTGATATTTGCGACATCGATACCCGAAGATGTCCCTTGTGTCGCTTCTGGGAGACATACTTGTAAATAAACAAAAAAAGAAGAGTGGAGAAGAAAGGTTTGTGGTTTGAGACTACACTGGACAACTGAAACAGAGGATCTCACCCAACCTTTGTCCCTCTTCTTTTTTGGCCTTTCCAGCACAAATTGCACTACAGTGGAGCAAAGTGCTGGTTGCTGTTTATTTTGGTACAAGAACATGCCACAATTGGCTTCCTCGCAGGATTTGTGGGCTCATCTACAGCCAGAACTCCAGTTGTTAGTGTTCAGTATATTTACTCAGACGTAAGGGTCCTGCTCCTTCCTAACTGTCAAAGGATAAAATATATCTGCAAGTTGCTGGAAACAAGTTGTGCTATTTTCTGAGATTTCAGCTAGTGTTAAGGTTTGAATCTAAGGCCATGCTAGTGACTCTGTAGGCACAGCATGGTGCTTGAATGTAGTATGTTAACTAATCACAATGACAAAGCTAACATGTTGATGTTTAGCCTGCAGGTATAATGTTTACAATCTCCACTACCTTGAGTTTAGTGTGTTAGCATGCTACCATTTGCTAATTAGCACTAAACAAAGTAAAGTAAAGCTGAGGCTGAGGAGAATGTGATTAGTTTTGCAGATATTCAGCCATAAACTGAAGTCTGAAATGAAACTGACTTGATTGTCATTGATATTGTGAGCATGTTAGCATGCAGACATTAGCATTAGCCTCACAGAGCCACTAGCACAGCAGTATACTTTTTTTTAGTATTGTTGTTCTTAACAGACAATTTGCTGTAATTTAAGGTTGTTGTTTTTATGGCTCACTCAGCAAAACAAAAACTGTACAAAACTCTGGAACAGCAATAAAAATAAAAATAAAAACAGATTAAACTGAACACAAGAGGATGGTAAGTCAATAAGAAGACCAGTAAAGGCTGAGCATCACTTTAAACCTGGACTTTAAAGTCTGCTGCGTTACTAAGGTTATCTCAGTAAATTGAAGGAACCATACTGTGGGATTTGGCATATTTCCTCCATAGAGATATTATGAAGGAACTCGTACGAATCAATAGTTCTACAATCAGTTAAACTTCTAATGGCGTTACTGTTACTGACTGAATGTGTTATTGTCACATATGTTACTGTTTTGCAAGGATATTTTTTATACAATAATTTATACGAGAATTCACCTTAAGATTTATTATTACCAGTAGGCCTGTTAAGCCTTTTCCAAATTATAGCCTATGGTACTTTCTGTGATGAACTTTATTTTCCTTGGTGGTCAGTGGGCTGTTGCATCACAAGTGTGAACCACATCAGCTATTTATTATGTTGCTGTGCAATAAAACAAACGTCTTGTGACCCGTGCAATAGCCCCTCTTTCGTGTGTCTTCGCACACACTGTCTCACACACACATTCACCGTGATCCACATGTTGACAGATCAAAGTCCAAAGCTGGCCTCGATCAATACCCTTATTCACGAGAAAACACACACTCTAGCACAACTATCTGTCTGTTTGTGTGTCTTGACGTGTCTCTAACTCTTCCCCTAATGTGACCAGACTGTCCCTGGGTCAGCCCTTTGATGTGACTCGTACAAAGACACCAATGAGACACTGGCTTTACTGGAGCCAGCTGAATATGATGTTTGTGTTGATGCTGAGTGCAGGGGGTGGGGCGAGGCCATCATATCATGCAAGCACTTCAACTGGTAGGCAGATGAATTGTGTGAGGGCAGAGTGGGGCACGCAGTGGATGATGTACACACAGTATGGCTTATTGTATGAATACACAGTCATGCTGAATGGATGGGGTCAGGCGTGCTAAATGGGTGTACCATTGTCTGTCTTCTGTTTACTGTCCACTTCATGGTACCAATTATTCTGTCTGGGTGCATGTGTGTAGGTACAGTGTAGGTAGATGCAAATATTGGAATTGTAAACTTTCTATTCAGGCACTGCCAGAGGACAAGGAGAGATGGAAAATAAGTATTTAGCTTTTGGAAAGAGTAAGAGATTATTGTTATTGATTGATTATTGCAGGCTGTTAGCTTAGCTTAGCATAAACACAGATGGCAGGGCTGAACCATCTAACCTGACAATATCTAAAGTTATGATTACCATAAATTCTGAAGCTCATAAATTAATATGTTGTACCTTGTTTGTTTAATCTGTGAAGTTTCCGTGCCAAAAACTGCAATACCTTTAACGGCCACACGGCTCCAAAAGCCTCCATGTTAGAATTGAAGAAACCTTACAGCAGAAATAACCAGGGTTTACAGCCTGTTATATATATATATATATATACACTATAGCTAGTGTTTCCCACTGTACCCAACTGTACAGAAGGTGCATTTTTATATAACTCACCCTTTTAAGTTATATTAAGGCTTAAAGTTATGCATAATTAAGGGTACGGCCGCTTTAAGTGACAGGTAGGTGCTGTTTTCAGTAACTACGTTTTATTTGGCCCACCTCGGCTCTTCCCACACGTAACGTTTTTGCCCATTTTTGGATTAGCCAGGTGGCAGTGGAGTCAGCACTGCCAAGATGGCAATGGCCGGAGCCGACCATGCTCAGCTTCAAAACAGTTTTACAGAAACATATGGGTGACGTAACAGAGACTGTGTTTATTTTTATCTATTATCAATAAAGACACTGCAAAAAAGTACTGGGTGGATGGATATACTGTTCTTCAAAATGTAGTTACAGAACTTAACCCCCTTAAACCCACACACTGACATTTCTAGCAATGCCATCTTCAGGTCATTATTTTCAGTCTGAATGTTGGTTTATGATCAAATCTGCCAAATGTATGATATTCCCATCAGCCTCAACTGTACTTTTTGTTCTAATGAGCTAATGTTAGCATGTTAACATACTAAACTAAGATGGTGAACATTCTTACCAAATGTCAAAAATGTGTTTTCATGCATTTTAAGTTTAAGTTACACTTTGTGTACAGATTAAACAAATATTACAATACAATGTATTAATGAGTTTTAAATCAGGTATATTTATGTACTTAGCCAAGCTAGGTATGCTCCCACTTTTTATATTAAAACCTTAGCTTGGCTCCAGCTCCGTAAAGCAACATTATGTACAATTTGACATTTTTTGCAACTTGGTGCCCCCAGTTTCACTGTACACTGCATCTTTGTTCCAACAGTTTGGGGACGACACGTGCACAAAGCCAGGTTCATAGAGAAGTTTTTGCCCCGTTTGGTGTGGAAGAACTTGACTGGCCTGCACTGATCCCTGACCTCATCCCCATCCAGCACCTTTGGGGTGAACTGGAACACTGACTTCAGGGCAGGCTTTATTGCCCAACATTAGTGCCAGAACTCACTAATGCTGTTGTGCTGAATGGGAACAAATCCCTGCAGCCAGGTTCCAAAACCTTGTCGCGTCTCTGCCTCCGCTATTCAGAGAAATCTATTGGATTATGGCAGCCTTTTAATTGGAATGAGAGGGTGTATTGTTCGTTTGTCCACATATTTCTGGCCATTTTGAGTACTTAATTCCATCCATCCGCGTGCCTCTCTGTGTCTTCAAGTTGCTGCACTAACAGCAGGTCAGTAGACGTACTTTTATATCTCATTTGCCATGGTAACAAGAATTTCCTGATTACAGTGTCAGTAGAGATGGTAATAACAACCTCTCCATTCTCTCCCTTAAACACACACATTAGTGTCCTGCTCGCTCTCTGTGCACTGCCTCCCTGCTCCTCGCTAAGACAGCCATTCATTAAATATACAAGGCAGAGCTTTAAATAAACCTGGAGCTGGAGCAGGCCACCCCTCCGAGGGCCGCTGGGGATCTCATGAAAGAGAATAGGCAGCACATTTGGCAGGACACACACACGCGCGCACACACACACACACTCACATACCTGCAAACAGACAGAAATCACTCATCCAAGGAGGCATTCCACTAAACTTTTTGTATTGGATGTATTGTTGGTTGTAAACTGGCACTGGTCAAGAAAGTACCGGGTGGCACCAGAAAGAGGAAACTGAAGTCCCTCTCTGGCTGTCTGAGGCCGGACAGCCACATCACCATATGGCTTCATGGGAAAGGTCTGACTAAGGCGATGGGAGAGAAAAGAGAAGGCGATTTGATCGTATGAAACCACTAATATCATTTTTCCAGCCACTTACAGAGTGTGCTTTAAGTTTTAAAGTTGCCTGTGCTGCCTTTTTCTCCCATGTGTCCTTGGTCCAGACCCCCCCCTTTCAGATCCCTGCTGGGCCACTCAGCTCTCATTTCTCCATGAGTGACAGCTGGATAATGCGCTGTAGCTCCTCTTCCTCTTGCCGCCGCCGAAGCTCCGCCTCTTCCTGCTCCCGAGCTGAGATCTCCATGGCGATGCGCAGCTGCTCGTTGTAGCTGCAAGTGGTGGGCTTCTTCTTGGTGGGGGTGGAGCAGAGGCT